TCATCCTTCAACAGTTTTTACATGTACTATTAAGTTAGGATGAGTTACCTTTGTTTTCACTTTTATTAATGATATTAAGAATTGACATAGTCTTGGGGGGCTGGCCCAATGGCTTCGCAGTTAAGTGCGCGCGCTCTGCTACTGGCGGCCTGGGTTCGGATCCGGGGCACCCACCGACACACAGCTTGTCTGGCCATGCTGAGGTGGCATCCCACATACAGCAACTAAGAAGGATGTGCAACTATGACGTACAACTATCTACTAGGGCCTTGGGGAGAAAAAGGGAAAAAAAAAGGAGGAGGATTGGTAATAGATGTTAGATCAGGGCTGGTCTTCCTCAACAAAAAAAGAGGAGGATTGGTATGGATGTTAGCTCAGGGCTGATCTTCCTCACGAAAAAAAAAAAAGAACTGACATAGTCTTGGGCCTTAATTTTAGCAGCTATTAAATTTACAATATGATATAAATATTGAGATTGTTAGACAAATGGATCATTATTGTCAACGCTAAGCATTTAATTTTGAGTCGATAATGCTTTACTCAGGTTTTATAAGTTAGCACCAATTTAGAAATTATCTACCAATCAATTTAATAGGGAAACCAGGTTCATATTTTTATGTACTTACTATAATTATGAAATAAAAGAAGTTGGCAAACCCATATGTCATCATAACTACATATTAGACATAGTTACATAAAATATTGTTTCATAGACATAATTTACTGTGAAAGATCAATGACGAGAGCATGAAAGCTTGGCAAATATATGGCTTTAATTAATAATCAATAATAATGATAACAACAATAATAAATTTTCTTCCACAGTAGTCTTTCCCAAAGGTATGTAGAAGCCTCAGTAAAAATAAGTAAGAATAGCTATACTTTAGAGAAGAGAATACTCTTTGCCCATAGAGGCTTTTGAAGAAATAAAAGCAAATATGTCCATTTTATGAGTAGGAAGAGCAGTGTGTTTACTTACCAGAAAATTTGAAACAACTCGACATGCATTAATAATAATCTATCCACACAGTAATCATACTAAGATGGTTAAAATGGCCTAAATTACTGTTCAAGATGACAGCGTGCTATACAAAAGAAAAAGAGCAGACACTGTTTGTGGCGTAATGTTTTATCGTTTTTACATCTGTAGGGATCCAGCTGATTTAAAAGAAATGCTGAAGATATTGTTTGCTCTTTCCACCTAAGTATTAGTTATTTCAATATCTCTGTTTTAATTCACAGAATTATATGGACTTGTAGTGACATAGAAGCAACTGTTTTTTTAATTTGATATATTTTAAACTGTTATTAAATAAATAATTCATACTTATTCTGGAAAATTAGGATTTACAGATAATTCAGAAGAAAAGATGTTTGCTATCTTGCCACCTAAAATACATCCATTAAAAATTTTTTGTATCCTTCTAGACTACTTTCAAAGAACTTTTTCATTTTTTAACCCAAAACGTAGGTACAGTATACATCTTGTTTTATAATTTGAATTAACATTATACTGGAGACATTTTATTAAAATATAATTCTAGAAGATTTTGAAACACTTATGTATGGATATTACATTTTGAATAGCATATTATAAACCAAACAGTAGATTTTTCACTTTGTGATCCCATTTTTTGGCTGAAAATATAGGATTCGTGTTATTTTAGTCACTATTCTGAATTTTTAATAAAGAATCTAAAATAAATTAATTTTATTTGGTGTTATCTGTAGCTTTACACAGACTATAAAATAGCAGCAAAATGGTTTTTACTAGTTAGTAGACTAAAAAAACCCAGCATATTTCTTTTAGAGGTAATAAGTAAGAGAATATGTCTTTGAGTTTGCCTGTTAGTTTTATCAATTTTCAGGTCTTTTTCTTTTCGCTAGACTCTATCATTATCTGAAATATTAAGAGAAAAAAATAACCAAAGCTTCTTTTCCACACAGTATTTGAGGCTACAATTACTAAGAACTTTGAAATGAGTCCTGAGCCTTTAACAGTTTAAGATTTGAATATTTTGAGATGAAATGGAGAAAACGTGAATAAAAAGGTAGTGAAAATAAAATCTTAAGGAATGTGGTAATGGGTTTAAATTTATTATATATACATTCATTTATTAAATAAATATTACTAATATCTCTACAACACGCCAAACACTGGAAATAAACCTGTAAACAAGATGGACATGTTTTCTGTCTAGACAGAATTGAGAGAGAGGCATATGGTCATGTGAACTGAAAATTGTAACATTGTGAGAGGAAAGGATGAGGTCATTTAAACCAGATACAAGTAGGGTTAAGAGAAAGAGTCTCAGAGAAAGAGGCTCTAGTGAAGGATTGGAAGAGTATGCCAGGCAAAAACGTGGAAAAGAAAGCATGTATTAGAGAGAGAATTTCGAGTTGGGAGGCCCAAACAACAAAGGATTTACTTATAGAGGAATGCCAAGATAGGTAGACAGACTCAACCACTGAGTATAAGATGATAGGTGCTTATTGTTGAAGTGGAGTTCCAAATAGGGGCCAGATCACACGAGGTCTTAAAGAGTGTGCAAAGGGTGTTGACTTTATCAAAGGGGCTATGAGGGGCCATTGGAGGGTTTGAAGGAAAGTGACATAATCAAGTTTGCATGTTATAACAATGACACAGGATTCAGAATGGAGGTTAGATTGGAGTGAGACAAATTAGAGGAAGAAAGATTAGGTTGATTCAATAATCCAGTATACAGAAAACGGTAATTTGCAAAGTTATTGTGGCATTAAAGATAGAAATAAGTGGATCAATTGCATGCTGGGGGAGGGTAGATAAGGGGAAGGATTCAGGATGGCACCCAAATGTTTCATCTTATGTCCTGTGTAGATGGTGATGTCTTTTACATAAAATTCTACAAGGAGAAAGGACCATAAAATTGCATATAATTTCATTAGTATATTCATGGCATCACATTTGACTGAAATAACTATTTAATTGCAGCAAAACATTTGTCATATCAAAATATTGTTATTAACTTAATTATTTAATTGGTTGATAGTTTTAATTGTGTTTAATTTGTAAATCATTGTTTGTCTTTTTTAGTTATTTATATCTTATTTGATATTTGAATATGTTTAAACGACAGTGGGGATACACAAGAATTCTTTTTCTTTAAAAGTGTTTCATTAAACTAGTTAAAGAGACACTGCTATATATCACATTCAAGTGGATTTGGGATCTAAATAATGTCTTAACAAGCTGTATCAGTCAGGGTTCCAACAAGAAATATTTGCCTCACTCTAAAGAGATTAACTTAAAAGAATTTAATGAAGGGGTGATTTACTAAGCAATGAACATGGAAGAGACACAACAGGAAAACAGATGCTCAGCCAGGCAGGTGCCACAGGGGAATCTGAGGTGGGATAGGGTGGAATAAATCTGCTGTCCTCTCTATCTGTCTTCTGCTCCTGTTTGGCACCTTCCACTGGCTGAACCCTAGGGGAAGCCACATGGCAAGAGGGCCCAAGTGATGTAGTTCACATAGATCGGTTTCCTGAGGCTCAGAGATCACAGGGAATAGAAATGGAAAAAGGGTCATAGGATAAAAACCGGCTTGCAAGCAAAGAAGTATCTACTGGATGCCAACCACGTACTCATTATTGTCTAGTGTATTGAAAATGGTTTCAGTTATTAAAAGTAGAAAGCAATCCTATAACTCAAGTAATTTATACTTAAGTTGCAAAATAGGCAAACAAATACTTAAAATACGTTAAGGGTTATAGAATGTTTTTAAAAATATATACAGGGGCTGGTCTGGTGGCGTAGTAGTTGGTTTCGCTGCTTCGGATCCTGGGTGCGGACCTACGCATTGCTTGTCAAGGCATGCTGTGGCAGTGTGCCACATACAAAATAGAGGAAGATGGGCACAGATGTTAGCTCAGAGTCAATCTTCCTCACCAAAAAAAAAAAAAACAAAATGTGCAGAGGTGCTAATGATATGTATGAATTATGTCAGAATGGGCATCAGCCTGCAACATGATTTGCCGCAGGCCTTGCACAATCATAGGAAAAATGCTATACTCCTAAAGACAGAAATTATTTAACCTACAGAATAAAATATGGTAGAGTCCCTACACCAATTGTCCCAGAAGAGCAGAAATGTGTTTAATGCATTTTTAGTACTAGCCACTATTTTTTCTCCTTATACTCAAAATTGTCTTTGTTAGAATGGAGCCTATTTGCAATGCAATGTGTGAAAAGAATATCACTTCTGCCTGTCTGAGCCCTACCCTCTATTCAAAGTGCTTAATTTTTCTGGCTCATCCATCTAGATGTTTCGTCAAGCACAAATCCTTAAGTTCTACACAAGAAGAAGGGGGGTGGAGAATAAATGGTTTATCTCTGCCAAGTTTTAAATCAATGACCACAAATGGATATTTTTCAATTAATAACATCCCATTTCTCACAAAATCATTAAGTAATAACTACCTAGTCCCATACATGTTCACAGTTGATAGACATTATAAGTTACAACCTAATGTGTATGGTCTTCAGAGAGCTACTCATGCTGGCAAGACTGACTTATTAAATAAACATGTAATCAGCATATAAAAAGTGTTCAGACAAAAATTATCTCTGATATTTTGTCTTGGATGTCCGATACCTTCACTCCTCTTAAGAATTTAGGATTTCAGATGCAGAGTTGGAGTTATAATATTTGACATGTAGAACATAAAATATAATACGTGCTGATACGTAAACACTCATTTCATTGCTACTTTGTGAAAACAAAATTCCCTAGCTGAGAATTTGCAGTAAACAGTCAATACAGTCTTAGAACAACAATGAATATCTTTTTTTTTTTTCAAAACAACACAAGTTTATTATCTTACAGGTCTAGAGGTCAGATGTCCAAAACTGGGTTTTATGGGACTAAAATCAAGGCATCAGCAGGGCTGCACTCCTACTGGAAGCTCCAGGAGAGAATCGTTTTCTTGCATTTTCCAACCTCTAGACGTATCACATTCCTTGGCTGATGGTCCATTCCTCCAACTTCAAAACCAGCAGTGTAGGATCTTCAAATCTCTCTTTGACTCTGACACTGCTTCCTCTCTTGCCATTTTTTAACTTTTTTTTTTTTCTCAGTGTATTAGTAGTCCTTCTCTGTTCCTTTCTTCTTCTATACAGAAGTGATGGTCACTTTAGTTTGACCTCTGTCTGAAAGCTGTACTCTTTAACTCCCCTCCTCCCTCATGTTTTTGATATCATATCTAACCTCTTTGTTGTGCATTTGTATCCATTACGTTCTAATCATGGAAATAGATAATTTTTCCTATTTGTGGCTTTTCTTTTCCCTTTAAATCAGTCCCTTTAACATTTCTTGTAGCACTGGTTTCTTGGTGACAAACTCCTTTAATTTTTGCTTATCTGGAAAAATTTTGATCTCTCCTTCCATTTTGAATGATAACCTTGCTGGGTAGAGTATTCTTGGCTGTAAGTTTTTTCCTTTTAGCACTTTAAATATATCGTGCCATTCTCTTCTAGCCTGTAAGGTTTCTGCTGAGAAGTCAGCTGATAGCCTTATGGGGTTTCCTTTGTATGTAACTTGACATTCTCTTGCGGCTTTTAGGATTCTCTCTTTATCTTTAATTCTGGACATTTTGATTATGATGTGCCTTGGTGTGGGCCTCTTTGGGTTTATCTTGTTTGGGGCTCTCTGTGCTTCCTGTCCCTGGATGTCTGTTTCCTTCCTTAGGTTAGGGAAGTTTTCATCCATCATTTCTTGAAATAGATTCTCTGCCCCCTTGTCTCGCTCTTCTCCTTCCGGGACACCTATAACACGGATGTTAGTGCGCTTGATGTTGTCCCAGAGGTCCCTTAGACTGTCCTCACTCTTTTTAATTCTTTTCTCTTTTACCTGTTCACCTCGGGTAATTTCTTCTAGTCTTTCTTCCAGCTCACAGATCCGTTCTTCTGTATCCTCTACTCTGCTTTTGAGTCCCTCTAATGAATTTTTCATTTCCAGTATTGTATTCTTCATTTCTGATTGGTTCTTTTTTATATCTTCCATTTCTTTGTTGACATTCTCACTGAGTTCATCTATTCTTCTCCCCAGATCAGTGAGCATCCTTAACACTCTTTGTTTGAACTCTCTGTCGGGTAGGTTGCTCATTTCTGTTTCACTTAGTTCCTTTTCTGGGGTTTTGTCCTGTTCCCTTACTTGGAATGTATTCTTTTGCCTCTTCATTTTGCCTCTTTCCCTGTGCTTGTGTCTACGTATTAGGTAGGTCAGCTACGTCTCCTGCTCTTGGATAGGTGACCTTATGTAAGTGATGGCTTAGGAGGCTTCCAGTGTGCTTCCCTCAGTTCTCAATGTTCCAGGGGTGACCCCTATGTGGGCTACATGTATCCTTCTGCTGTGGCATGTTCGCTCTCCCTGTAGGCGCCCAGGGAGACTGAGTTATGCTCCTGGCCAGCTGTTGTAATGCTCAGCTGCTTGTAGTTGTTGTGGGCCCTTCAGTCTCTTTAATCAGGTGTGGGGATCCCCAGCACAGTTGGCTGCAAGTTCTAATACCACATTTGTGTTGCAGTATTTCTTTTAAGTGAGTAGGCCCCCACCGTGGCAGGTTGTTAGGCTCAGGGCCTTACAATTGCTGTAAGCCTCTAGCCTATTAGGTCTCTTGTCAGCTCTCTGAGGATTGCAGCTGGGTGGGGCTGGCCTCAGACACAGGAGCACCCAATTGTTTCAGGTTTTGGAAGGTGGAGCAAACCTCCTATGTGGGTCTTTGAGAAGCACAAGTCTTCTGTGGCTGAGAAGCCCTGCCGCCCACAGGTCCACACACACAGTCAACACAGTCCTGCCCCGTGTGAGCACCCCGACCTCCCCAAGCGGACCCAGTCTCTCCACAGTGGGAGCCCCACACACTCTGCCACTGCCCCACACTCTCCACCCTCTCCTTGTGCCCACCCTGCCCTGCTCAGGTCGGCTCAGTTGCCAGGCTGCAGAGAATCCAGTCACCAATCTATGCAGGCCCACAAGTTGCCTGAGGGCTTGTTGTTGGGTGGGGCCAGTCTCTAGGGTGGGCTGCCTGCCCTGGCTGAGCTGGATTAAATCGGTGCTCTAGCGGGTGGAGCAGACCCTGGTCTAGCAGGCCTCAGGGAGAACTCCAATGGCATCTGTGTCAGCACGCCCACACCAGGCCACAACAATGGCCGCCGCCAATGTCCCAGTCCCTGGAGAGGTCTCACCCCTCACCGAGATGCTCTCAGGGCCTATTAGGTGAGTCTCTTGTCACCAAAGCACTATACCCCTTTCTTTCTGGTGATTTTAGGATGCTTCCTGAAACGGGTGAGTTTGCGCGCGGGCCCTTTAAGAGCCAGTTTTTAGTTTCTTTGTGAACCGGGTTTTCTGGGGGTGCTCCCCAATGCTTTAGTAGCAGGCAAAGTCAGATATTATGCCGCTGGTCTCGATTGTGCTGGGTCCACAAAATGCCGACAGCGGGGGCGCTCCCTGGCTCAGGGCCCCGCGCCTCCAGGGAGGCTGCGTACCTGTGAGCTGCTCCCGGGGGCCATGACGCTGGCAGCTTGTGAAGGCGGCGTTTTTTCTCTCCAGAAGGGAGTCTCTGCCTCTTCCACCTCAGTTAGGATTGTCTGTTGTTGCAGGAGTTCCTCTTATCCAGTTTTCAGTTCTGTCTCAGGGGTAATTTTCCACAAGTAGTTGTAAATTGGCTGTGTCCACGGGAGGAGGTGAGTTCCGAGTCTGCTTACGCCGCCATCTTGACTCCTCCTCCTACAATGAATATCTTATCTGTGGGCAACATCATAGAGTTAATAAATGCTGTACCAGGTACTTTATCGTTTAATCTTCACAATTCTGAAAAACAGATATCTTAATTCTATTTTGAAGATGAGAATAATTGATAGTAACTTTTAAGTGACTTGTCCCAAATCACATAGGTTTCAACTTCCTAGGTATTTTCTTGCAACTACTCCTACTACCCTCACATATGTCCTCACATCATGAGTAAATTGATAATAAAACTGATACTGATAAAAATAAGAAACTGAGATAAAAATAATTTTAAAATATGTTTCACCTCTGGTTGGAATTCATAGCCCTTTGTTATCCTGGAAAGCATGCTTGAAGTTGGAAAATAACGTGAGTTCAAGTCATAGATCTGCCACTTAGTGGACCTGTAGATGTTAAGCAAATCTTTTAACTTCTATCAGTCAGATTTTCTCATCGCAGAAACAGAAATCATATATCTGTCTGCCAGAGTTATTTGAGGATAAAATGAGATAATTCATGAAAGTGACTAAAACAAAACCTGCTCAATATTTATTCAATCTCTTTAATATCCTTTTTCTTTGCAAATATTTGTAAAATTATCTACTGGCAGGCTTTATGAAAGATCAGATTAGCCTAATTAGGGACAAGGATAGTTAACAAAATTGATCCAAGAGCCTGATGGTTTTTCTATACCTTGGAACCATTTTCTCATTTTCTGTAACGTGGAACCAGCACTTTCAAGGCCAGTAGATTCCAAATTATGTTCCCGATATTTGGAAACATTGGGAAATGTTACTGCCTCACCTGTAGGATTTTCCGAAGTCCTGTGGGAAAGAAATGGTCCCCAACATGGCTGAAATAACAGTTGCCACTCACTCAAACTCCGTGAAGAAGTAAAGTAAAGTAGTCTTGTGATATTGATGTCCCAGTGTCAAAAACTGCATGAGTTGATTTTATTACTGTAGACTGATATTTTAATCAGTCTTGTTAAAATAGAACAAGGGAGACAGAGATGCTGATTAGTGTAAATATCAAAAACATTACATTGCGTGCAAGGAGATCATGAGGAGGAGAATTTGCATTAACTTTTCCTTTATGCTTTTATTCATTTCTTTCTTCTTCTCCAATATTTGCATTGAGATCAATATTCACAGAGCTTGTAATGTAATTAGAAGAATCATTAGCTATTAGGAGAATTAGCTTGGGTTGCAAGAAGAGAATAGAAAACTAATGAATGATCAACTTGTCACCAAACATCTATAATGCCTCTGAATTCTTTATGTAATATAAAACCCGAAATGTAAGTAAGAAATAATGAAGGCACTTACATGTATATTTTATCCTTTCAGCAAATTTTTTTCAAAGCCCCTTAATATGTGCATAGCAAATGAGCACTGGTTATCACTTCTTTGCATCTTAATTATCTCTGTGTTTGGTAACAAAAGATAGAAAACAGGACTTTGAGGTTGGCTTGACTGAATGTATTTATGTTGTTTTCAGGTTAAAGTCTGGTAGTCTATATATGATTGCCTCTTAAGCAGTCAAATTGAAACATCATTTATTGGGCACCAGTGATTAGAAACGCACTATTCTAGCCACTGTGGAGGATACAAGATGGACTAAAGCAGAAGGAGAGAGAAAGACAGAGAGCATATAACGAAGTAACTTAGACCAAGTAAGAAGAAAGAAATGGCCCTAGGGCTATGGACAGTCAGTGAGGAAAAGAGCTTCTCTGTGAGAGGATGAATGAGAAACTCTTTTTGGAGGAGGTAGGATTTGCAGAGAGTCTCCTAACACATTCTTGGGAAGCATGACCCTACAACCCAGTTTGCTGGGACAGACCCAGCGTAATTACTAATAGCATCCTCTTTCATTCTCGAAATTGTCCTTGCTTGGATCCAAAATTTTATTGTAACTTGAGCTATAAAGAAGTTTTGAAATTTGTTCCTTCTCAGTGTTTAAGTAACTGATGTGTTTTCTGAACAAAAGAAATAATTTCCTTTCTATTTTGGGGGCAGTATTATTAAGATTTTTACAAGAACTAAAAATTTTAAAGTGAAATCATGGGAAGTATTAGTAATTTTTATTCCAGTTTCCTGCATATATAAATTTTTAAATATTCTCTTACTTCTTCACAATCAAGATAAACAGAAAAATCAGTTTTCAACTTGTGGAGTTTAGAATGTTAAATAAGAGCCTTATGTAAAGCAAAGATCAGATTTTTGCGAATAGAAATATAGCCAAAATGAACACTCCAGAAATATAATGCATTCCTGCTCCATTATTATCTGTAAAATTAGAAGGGCTCCCTTGTGTAAAGATTAAATACCTGACTAGGATTCAAAAAACTTGGGACGGTTCTATGTGACCTTGGGCCATGACTTTTATTCTCAAAATTGAAGTTTCCTCGTCTTTGAAATGACAGGGTTAAAATAGATGATCATTAAGGTCTCTCCCAGCTCTAATACCACTATTTGAAATTCAAATAGGTTAATATAAATTTTACTCTTGGTAGTGAAACTTTCCTGAGGTGATTGCTTAAAATAATTGAGAAAGTAAAGGATAAAATTCTTCAAAAGAAAGTATGGAAATATGTCTGAAGAATGCAAGGCTAGAGATTGGAACCAGTAGACAACAGTAGAACACCTTCCTTATTGGGACATATTTACTATGCATTAATAGATGCTTCTTGTTACTTTATTTTTAAACATTAAATTGCATCATATTATTTGAGCTGCTTGTTAAAACACAGATTCTAAAACCCACTTTCAGATATTTTGAATGCGAGGATAATGCTATAAAGCAGTGTTGCCCATTTTTGTGTCTCAAGTCATAGGTGCAAAATAGTTGACGGCCTTAGGTTTTGTCCTTCCAGAAAGAGACTCTGAGCCAAGAATTTGAGTGCTAGTGACTTATTAAGGATATGTTCCCAGGAGAACCCACCAGGAGGTAGGGGAGTAAGAAAGCAGGGCAGGGAAGGAGACCTCTAAGTAAGGATGTAACGTCAAGTGAGGTTCCAGACTCAGCCTAATCCAAGGGGAGTTCTGGAGTCCACCTGGGAGTTTTCCCAGCAAAGGAGCTGGGCTTTTGTATTCCCACACTAGTCAGTCATTGGCTGTGAGTCAGGGGTGGGGCAGGAGTGGGAAGGGAAGGGGGTATAAACTTCCATGCGTTTCCAGTTCTTTCAGCTGGCAAGGCAGCTTCAGTGCCCGAGAGCGATCCTCAGAAGACATTTTCAGGTGAGGCATTTTAGCAGCAAAACAAGCAAAAACTGAGGAATAGGGCCCAATGCGAGTAGAGCAATGTGTGGGTTTCTAGATGGCACATCCAGGATGTCCACTCACCTCCTGAACTCTCTTCGTGATCACACTAGAGTGAGACCACACTAGAGATCATACTAGAGTATATGCCATACCTCCTTCTGAGACTGATGACACACAATGGCATATTATAGGTTTTAAGTAGTAATGCAATCAAAAAACTATTAATTGTTTTTCCAATCCAGTATCTCCCAAATGAATTTGACTATCACATGACTACCATCCGGAAGACATACATTGGAAATTTTCCCAATAAGACCTCAAGAATTTTGAGTTAAAGAGGAAAATTTTACTAAATCATTGTTTTTGGTTCCAAATGGTATCCAGCAGAAGCCTCTGAAGGAGACCAGCTTCCCACTAAAACACTTGTTAAGTCATGTCTATACACATACACACTCACGTTAACAATAAGGGATGCCTGTCAACAAATTGTAATAAACTGTGAGGGATTTTCTCTAACTAAAGAGCTGAAGGAATGAGATTGAAAAATGAAATTGATAGTTTGTCTGGCCTCTGCCTGCAATTAGTTAGCAGACACATTCTGCCTTGCGGCTCTTGCACTCAAGATCTATAGCAAGAGAAAAAGCAGTTGACTGGCTCTCTCCTGGGGCTGTGCCACTTATTGAGGCAAAGTGCTGACCTTAATCCCTTCCCATCTCATCCCTCAATGTAAATTTGCTTATTATGTTGAGTCAAAATCTGCAGCACTGAGGGGGGAACCTGAACAGGAAGAAAGAGTAATTGATGGTAACTCATTACATCCTGGGAGTGTAATAATACTTAAACCTACCACTTATTTTTATCTACCAGGGGTATACCCAGTGGTGTGCCCAGTGTTGGGAGCTTTACATAACTCTTTTCATATAATTCACACAACCATCCTGAGAAGAAGGTTATTAGAAAACTCATTCAATGAGGTTAGGAAATTTTCTAAAAGCCATAAATCTAGAAAGTGATAGAGTGGAGATTCGAAACTAGGTCTTTCTGAATTCTCATTAGGCCAGGCTAATTGTAGTTAAGGCAGTCAAGATTAGCTTTGTCACCAATGCATAATAAAACTTTTGGTAATGCAGGTCCCTCTCGACTCAGGGAAACATAAAGCTCTTGGGAGGAGAAGAGCACTGTAAGTCTGAAAGACTTGCCTTAAATAAAAGTATTTTTAACAAAGTAAATTCGTTTTAAGATCTAGAGCCTCATTTTTTTTTTTTTAATTAGCTGTCTGAAAGAGACAATTGACTAGCACTGGAATGAACAGATAATAAGATGAAGAATATTCATGTACATTGTCTGTTGGCAAACACAGGCTTTGGATAAAGCTTTCACCTTTCTAGGAGAGTCGCACAAAAATGGGACCATGAATTAATGTTGTAGAACAATAGTAAGAGAACATCTTACTGAAGACTCAGAAATCCGTGAAAATGATTTCCTCTCAGAGCTAGAAGGAAATTATAAAACTCTGTTTGATATCTTGAATAGGAAATAAGAAAGAATGACTTCTATGAAAAAGAAAGAGAAGTCACATGGAAGGAATAGGTAAAGATATGAAGTCCATTAGAATTTTTTAAAAAAGAGTAACATAGAAATGATTGCAGGGAAACTAAAAATGCAATAGCAGAATTGACACTGTTAAATTGTACCAATGCTGTAGAAGAAAATACCTGAGTGGCTCTTCCAAAGTGACTTTTCCAGAATATTCTGGGGAAAACAAGATTAAAAGAATAACAGAGAATATGAAACATAAGAAGTCGAAACTTAACACTTCATTTGCGAATCTTAAAGCATCAGCTTGAGGGGCTGGGCCTGTTGGGATAGCCTCCGGGGACCAGGGACAGAGGCTCTGGTCGGTGCCATTTTTGCGCTCTCCCTCTTCCTTGCTAAAGGCATCACTATTTTTTCTTCTCTAGACTTTTTCTTTTTTTTCTCCGTGGTGCCATCTTCACCATCCAACCGGCGGGTGCCCTTTCTGCGCTCTCCCTCTTCCTTGCTAAAACCTGCAGGCGCCGTCTTCACGCTCTCCCTTTGCCATGCTCCACAGCACTAGTACCTCCTGGAGGGGAGCTTTTACACACTTCTGGTGCCCTGGTTTTTCCGTCTGGTGCCCTGGATTTTGCAGCCGCAGCCCGGGGGATGGCCCTTGATCGCCTGGCTCTGGAAGCTTGGGGGCTTGTGTTCCTGGGTCCCATGGGACTGTAAGGATTAGAGAGACAGTTTTGGGCAGACTGCCACCCCCAGGGCACTGCACAGACAGCGGACTGAAACATGCTCCCGGTCTTGCTGAGAACAGCCTCTTTGCTTGTCTAGGAGCTTTAGCCTGAGGGGCAGGCTTCTGGAATGACACATTTTTGGGGGGGTGTGGAGGGGCTCTCAGAGAACAGAGGCGAGTGGATGCCATCTTTGCGTTCTCCTTCTGCCTCACTCCAGTTCACAGTGTCTTCCGGAAAGGAACTCGTACCTCTGTCTGATGTCCCAATTTCTGCGGCTGCTGCCAGGAGACGCCTCTACATCTGGCTCTAGCGGCCAGTGAGGCTTATGCTCGCAGGACCCACAGGACTGTAACCAATGGAGAAAGTTCTCAAACAGCCACCACCGTCAGGGCACAGCAAGGGGCAACAGACCCAGGAGCTCAGTCTTTCTGTGCAAGAGACCTATAAGCTTATCACCATAGCTGCAGCCTGAGGGGCAGGCTTCTCATTAAACACACATCTAAGGGCTGGCTGTAAACTTTTCTAGAAACCTCAGAAGGTGGGCGCTATCTTGCCCTCTCCCTCTGCCCTGCTCCAGATCGTCAGTATTTCTTAGAGGGGAGCTCTTAGAAGTCTGGCGCTCTAGTACTTATATCTAGTCTCCTTGTTCTTGTGATTGCTGCCCTGGGGACACCTCTTGAAGGCCTGGCTCTGGTGGTCAGAGGGACTTGTGTTCCTGGGTCCCATGGGACTGTAACAATTGGAGTGACAGTTCTTGGAAGTCTACCACCCCCGGGCACTGCACAGACAGCAACAAACACAGCCCCAGTCTCTCTGTAAAAGAGGCCTATATGCCTGTCCTGCTGGCTTTTAAGATGGAAGAGGCCATAGGCCAAGGAATGCAGGTGGCCTCTACAACATGAGAACAACCTGGGCCCACATCCAGTTAGGAAACAGGGACTAGCCCCACAGCTGCACGAAACTGATTTCTGTAAAACCTATTTGAGCCTGGACGCAGATTCTCCTCTAGAGCATACAGATAAAAGCCAGGCTGCTGGATACCTTGACTTTGGCATTGTAAGACCTTAAGCAGAGAACCCAGTCATACTGTACTCAGACTTCTGGCCTACAGAACTGTGGATAATAAGTGGGTCTTTTAAAAAAAATTTACTTTCTTTTTTAAAGCAGCTTTAGGTTCGCAGCAAAATTGAGTGGAAGGTTTCCCATATTTCCCCTGCATCACACATGCATAGCCTCTCTCATTATCAACATCTTGCACTAGAGTGGTACATTTGTTACAACTGGTGGACTTATGTTGACACATCATATTCACCCAAAGTCCAAAGTCTACATGAGGGCTCACTCTTGATATTGTACATTCTATGGGTTTGGACAAATTTATAACGACGTGTATCCACCATTATAGTACATTACAGAATAGTTTCACTGCCCTAGAACTCCTCTGTGCTCTGCCTATTCATTCCTCCCTCCCCCCTAACCCCTGGTAATGAGTCTTTTTTTTTAAGCTGCTAAATTTGTGGTAATTTGTTATAACAGCAATAGAAAATTAATAAAGTTCCCAATTCCTATTTGAAAGGTCTGTAGGAGCTTATAGTCTTATGCTTTATGTAGTCCTTCTCCTAAATCTTTTATTTATGGTTGATTTTTCATGGGACTTGCTAAAGAATTTAAGGTTAATCTGATAAGCTAATTTAAATTAAGGCAAAAGACGTTTAAATAAGGGTGCTAGTACCATGATCTAAGATGGTTACTCTTGCTGGGGAATTCAGGCATGTAATTGGCTTGGGGAACATTTTGCACAAGCAATTTTCTCATCATCTTTTATGTGATAATACACATGCACCACCATGGGTTTACCTGAAGAGCCAATATTGATTATTATAGTTGTTCTAATTGGAACTGGCAGACTGGATTACATAGCCTTTTATATCTGAAATTCTCTAATTCTCTGGAAAGTAAATTTTAATTATTGTGAGATGATCAATATGTATTACAGATACACAAGTTTATTGAAAAGGAAGCATTCTTAAAAGTTATTCCCATTGCCAAATATCTTTGTTTTCTAAAACTCACTTCTAGATTGCTTTAAAAAAATCACTTCACTGGTATATTTAGAAAGTGGTTTTATATAGAGAAATATATGTGTTATAAACATAGAAGTATGGCTAGAAAAAGCTAAAGATGTAATAAATAGGTCCCATGAGAAAGTGCTTATAGTCTTGGATTTATGGACACTGTGTTTTCCAGCCTTTCAAATTCACTGATTAGTGCTGCCACTTGCATTCCTTTAATCTGTTAAAATGCATCTTCCCATAAAAACAGAGTGTCTGGATTCAGACTAAAGTAATTATCCCATTCATTTGGCATCTGTTCAGAAGGTTAGCTTACAATATTAGAATTAGACAAAATTATCACTTTCTTCACAAGGATTTTCACAAGTTCTCGTGTGCGTGTGTAAATTGTCAGTGTGTGATTGACTAGACCAAACCTGTTTGGGGCTTCCACTTTAAAGTCCATATTTCCAGGTAATAATTTGATCATGAATGCAGCTATTGAGTTTATTACTTAAAGTGCAATAACTCAGACACACTTTTAATTAGTTCCCTAAATCACTTGAGCACTGTAAGCCTGCTGAATGGTTAGGGAAACTCCTCAGTTGTTGCATCTGTTGTTATGTGATGTTACTCCTTGGCTGAGAAAGAGGATGGAGCCTCCAATAGAGAATGCAGACACTATGATCTTTAGCTGACTGTCCCGTTACCTCATTAGATCTGGCCCTGATCCTGAGTCAGATTTGAAGATCTGAGTGGCAGAAGCAAATTGTAAAGGATGAACAATACTACAACCCAAAACAGTAAGTGCTGCGATGCTGACTTGAGTCAAGCTGCGGTCAGAGCGAAGCATTTTTATTTCAAATTTCAACCAGGTTTGAAGAGGCAATGAGTAAATATTGGTCAAGAGGGGGCAATGCAACATCTTTCCTGTGGAAGAATGAACTGGAGATGAATATTTTCAAGCTCCTTGCACAGACAGTGAGCAGATTTGCAGTTATTAAGTGTGGTGGTGGGTGGAGGATAATTGAAATCTTCAGATCTGTGTTCATCAGACCCTTATTGCTTCTGCCTCATTTCCTGTTTGACTATGAAGGAATAAGGATTCAGATAAGCCAAAAACTATGCCATGGTTATCAGAAGCCTACCCATTAAAAAAAAAAATGGGCAATGCCCTTTTTAAAAGGATTATTTTTTAAGGCTAACATGAAAGAAAACACTGTATTGAGGATGAGAAAACTTTCAATATTGAAAATTTATATAGATTCTGCATATGGCAATATTTGGTGAAAATAAAGCAAGTAGAGAGTGAATATGAGGAAAATATGCCACTAAGCATATTTTTTAGGTACGCTGACAATGAGGTACTTAATGAAACTTTTCTGACTTCTGATTTACATTCTTTATAAGAGTGTCAACACCTTTAGAAGCTGTCTGTTAAAATAGATAAAAATAATTCTGCAGTTTTACCATCACTTCCTGGATCTGATTTGTAAATTTCATGACAATTTCTTTTTGTTGTTTGTTTCCTGACAATAGTCCTTGTCTATTGACAAGCCTTGAGTACTTAAGTTCTAAATCATGAAGCTCAAAGGTAAATTGTCTTTCCTAAAACTGTGCTGAGTTAATATTAAATGACTACCTAACTTAAGTGTTTGTTCCATTTTATTTTGATCACTAGATACAATTAGAGGATACTTTCATTGTTGCCAATGTTATATTCAGAGATGAATGATTCTTTTTCTAAGGTATGTGTAATCCAGCTCTTTTCAATTATGTAAAGAACTGCTTCCCTTAAGGTTACTTGACTTGTCCAAATATTAATCTTTCTTTCACAGAATGCTGTAATGCTCCTAATTATGTTCTTCCCAATCAGGTCTTGCTCAAGCTCTGTAGACTGACTGTGGAATTCATTAATGAGTTGCTATCTAGTTGTGCAGGTTTTCTTTTTACTTTAAGAAGTTTACATTTTTACTACGTTTTTCATTTAAAGATGATTGAGTACATGAGGCTCGCTGCTGCATCATACATAGCAAGCAGTATGTAAATTAACAGGAGAAAGAAACATATAAAAATGGATCTCTCTCTCAAATTAATATGAAGTTGTTCTGAAACTTTGTCTATGTAATAGCAGAAAAAAACTGATTAACTGATTTCATGAAATGTTTTCTGTTCTGTCACTAATGATCACCTAATGTGATTTATTTTTTACTGTTTTTTTTTAAACGAATATGTGTGGAGGCCTATAATTATAGCTTATATTTTTTAAATTAAATTTTTTATTTTGAGATAATTGTAGATTCACATGCAATTGTCAGAAATAATACAGGGAAATTCGTGTATACTTAACCAGTTCCCCCCCATAGTAACATCTTGCAAAACTGTTATACACCATTACAACTAGGATATTGACATTGATACAATCAAGATAAGAAATATTTCCATCACAAAGATCCCTCATGTTGCCTTTTTACAGCCACAGACACTTCCCTCCTGCCCCATACCCTTCTTAACCTCTAGCAACCAGTAATCTGTTCTCCATTTCTGTTATTTTGTCATTTCAAGAATCTTATATATGTGGAATCATATATAAGTGTAACCTTTTGGGATTGGCATTTTACATTCAGCATGGAGTCACGGAGTTGTTGTGTGTATTAGTAGTTCTTTCCTTTTTTATTGCTGAGTAGTAGTCTATGGTTTGGGAGTACCACAATTTGTTTAACCATTCACCCATTAAAGGACATCAGAGTTGTTTCTACTTTTGGGCGATTATGAATAAACCCGTTATAAAAATGCATGTACAGGTTTTTGCATGAACAAAAGCCTTCAATTCTCTTAGATAATTTCCTAGGCATGCAATAGCTGGGTTTTATGGTAGTTGAATGTTTCATTTTTAAGAACACTGGCAAACTGTTTTTCATAGTGTCTGTACCATTTTATACTCCGACTAGCACTATATGAGTGATCCAGTTCATCTGCATCCTTGCCAGCGTTTGGTATTGCCACTATTTTTCATCTTGGTCATTCTGATAAGTTGGTAGTGGTATGTCATTGTTGTTGTAGTTTGCACTTTCCTAATGGCTAATGATGTTGAACATGTTTTCATGTGCTAATTTTCCATCTGTATATCTTTTTTGGTTAAATGTTTCTGTATGTCTTTTGCCCATGATCTACTTGGATTGTTTGCCTTTTTTGTTTGAGTTTTGAGAGCACAGCCTAAGTTTTAAAATTTAAATCTACAAATTTTAAAGCCACTCTCAGCTTGTGTTTAGAAAAATCAAATATGTGAGGTAAAAACAAGCAAATCAAAAATGTCAATATTGACAAAAACACTTACTGCAAAAAGAATAACTCTAGTCAGGGGTTCTCATCATTGGGGAAGTACAGTGTGCCGAGATCAAATGCTATAAATGACTTGAGGTAGGTGTACATGAAATGGAAAACAATATATGAATTATGAAGTAATTGGGGCAATTTTTTAAAACTTTCATTCCGGGTAAAAAAAGGAATATATACACACTGTAGAAGATTTAGAAACATAAAGAAGGATAAGGAAAGCAAAAAGTTACTGATATTTCTATCACACAAAGCAAACCACTATTATTTTGCTTTATTTATTACAGGTTTTACATCCATATTACAGGAATATAAGTTGGAATCATGCTCTATATACAATTTTGTACACTGTTAACTTCCATGTATTAAATTATGACATTTACTATGCCTTTAAACATTTTTCAAAAATAAATTTAATGGTGATAATTTATTTAACCATTCACCCATTTTGGAACCTATTTCTGACATTTGAGATTTTGTGGAATAAACCACATTTGGTCTTTAATATCATCTTTCACGATTAGATCTCCATTCCATCTAAATTTTTTTTACTTTTGTGTCGTGTAAAGCAAGAATCAAAATATATTTTTTTCCATATCATTTTTAATTGACCATCTTTTCCCTACTGTACTGCCTTAATTCAGGTAAGCATAGAGGTATAGGTCTATTTCTAAACTCTATAATGTTCCATTGATCTGTTCACCTTTGTGCCAATATTCCACTGCCCTTATTACTATAGTATAACAATCAGTCTCCATAGTTGGTAGTTTAAATCCTCCAACTTTGTTTGTCTTCTTCAAGATTGGCTCATTTAAAAATTTTAGAATCATCTTGTCAATTTTCACAACAAAAGCTGAGATTTTGGCTCGGATTTTATTAAATCTTTAGATCAATTTGAGAAGAATAACTTATTTACAACTTTGAGTTTTCAAATACCCAATACGCCAATGTATATCTATTTATTTAGGTCTTTGTAAATTGCTCTCAATAATACTTGTAGAATTTTATGGAGTGCCTTTTCTACATCTATTGAGATAATCATTAAATTTTTTTCCTTTTTGCAGTCAATGTGACACAGTATATAGATTGATTTTCAAGTGTTGAGACCACTTTGAATTCCTGTAATCAACACTATTTGTGATGTATAAACATTTTTATGTTTCACTGGAACTAATTTGCTAATATTTTTATTATAATTTATTGTATCCATGTTCGTGAGATAAGCTGGATTGTAGTTTTGTCAGGTTTTGGTGTCAACATTATTCTGACCTCATGAAACAAGTTATGAAATATCCCTTCTTTCTCTATTCTTTAGATGAGTTTATGTAGGATGTACAGGATTAGTGTTATCTCTTCCTTAAATTTTTCTTAGAAGAAATTTTTCTTTGTGGGAAGAATTTTAATAACAAATTCAGTTTATAATAGAAACAGGAGAATGAAGTTTTTTTCTTCTTATATCTGTTTTGGTATATTGTGTTTCTAAGGAATTTGTCTATTTTACCTAAATTGCTGAATTATTGCTTTTGATGTTTGCAGGGTTGTCATCCTTTTCAAGTCTAATACTGGCAGTGTGTTTCTGTCTCTCTCTCTCTGTCATTCTTATATAGTCTTAAATTTTTGCCTTTAGATTTTCTTTATAGTACATTTGTTTTCTATTTCATTTTTTTTCGATTTACCTGTATTATTTCAGTGTATCTGTTTTCTTTGGTTTAGTTTTGCTATGGTTTATTGAGAAACAAGGTTGAATATTGATTTTAATCTTTCTGATTAAATATATCTTTAAAACTGTGCATTTCTCCCTACGCCTTGTTTTAGCTACTTTGCATACCTTTTGATATGTTGCTTATTATTATCATTAAGTTTAAATTATTTTCTAATTCTCATTCTGATTTCTTCTTTGTTCAATGGGTTTTCTAAAAATATATTATTTAATATTCCAGCAGTTTGGACTTCTTAATAAATTTTTAATTGATATTCAGATTAATTCCATTGTGGTCAAAGAGTATACTCTGAAATATTTCAATTTGAAATTTGTTGAGACTTGTATCCTGATCTAGCATATGACTATTGTTAAGAGTTTTGTGAGTCCTTAAAAAAAGTGTGAATTCTATCATTGTTGGGTCAATGTTGTAATTAAATTTTTATAAATTGCTTTACAGATGATATGTTTATTTTCAGAAAGGATTCCAAAGGGCAGTAATTCCTGAAAAAAATCTATATCCTTTCCCTTTAGCTATGTAAATTTGAATGATAAAAAGATAGTATTCATCCAAAAGAATGCCTTCTTTTAATATGAGAATATCATTGACTACATTTCTTAGAAGAAATCCCTCCTTCTATATCCTAACGTCTTCTTTCTAACAATTTAATATGAATCTTTACATCATTTTCTAAGCTAGTGATAAGTCTGAGAAAATGCGGTTATAGGTTGGACTCCTTTTAGAAAATGTTATTTTGAGAATAAATCCACGAGTGTCATTCTTTTAAAAGAGAGAGAGAGAAAGAAAAAGAAAGCTAAAAAATTAAAAAGAGATATCCAGCTTCCATCTCAGTGTCACTATTGATAGTGTAATCTAGAGGATGAGGTACACAGAGTTGAAGCAGGAATAATTCATATTTACGCTTTATTTGTGCAATTGCACAGAAAAATGGAAATAAAGGTGTCTGCCCCTTTTTGCAGGAACATGACCTCGCTCTTTCTCTGCTTGATCGCTGGCGAAATTCTAAAAGCACATTGGTAGTTATGTAAGAGCTTGCCATTATCTTCTGTTAAATGTTCTGCAAGTCGTAGTGCAACTCAAAAGCCTCATGTGATCACTTTCATCTGATAATTCTGAATTGTCAGCGTTAAAACTGTTTATGCCACTGTTTTCTGGGCTTCTCTTCTTTTGCCTAACTTGTTTTCCTTCTTGCCACACTTTCCCCTCATACATCTGACACTTCTCATTTTTGTTACTCAGAGAAATGGAGCATGCTGTGCTTCCCTATGGAAGGTCGCCCTGCCCCCCACCACCTCCCCCTGCCCCCCGTATAGTCAACTATAATCTATTGCTACATTAGATGAATTCCATTATTTTTCCACTGTGTTAACTTCAGGCGCCTGAAGCTGAGTTTCTGTATCATGGGACCAAAAGAACTAGAGTTTCTGAAAGTGAACTTATCATCAAAGCTATGTATCTATAATTTAATAGATTGCTTAGTCATGCAGGTGTCTGTAGGATTTCCCAGGGAGTTTCACAAGTTACGCCATTTTAATGAAACCTATCACATCCAATGTTCAAGCGGGAAGAAACTAGATTCTATTTGGAACAATCAGTAATGACAAACACTGGAAGGATGAGACATTATAAAATGAATAAGAATTCAACAATGTTTTTAAGACATCACTTTCCAGCTTGCCTCTTTCTCATTCCTTTGGACTCTTTCTTTTGTTATGTTTACCTGAGTTTTAACAATGTTTCGTGTTCATGTAATTGATGACTTTTTAAATTTATTTTGGTATAAAGCCCATTAATAGACCTTATAATTTAATTTAAGATAATGATTAACTAAAACCCTCATATAAGCCATAAAATCAAGTTCCAGAACTATCTTTTCCTTCGAAAAAGTCAAGGAGAGACCACAGTAGCTCATAGAATATTGTAGGAAAGGCTCATAGTTTCACTCCCAGTGACATCTCCTTTCCAGGCTTTTAACCATATGTGCCAAATACTATGCGTCAGAGGATTTTATAGATCCTTATGATTCACAGTCTGAAGGTGCACTCTTTTGGGTCTTCCTATTAAGTGCATTGGCTTTTAAAAATGTCAATGATTAAATCAGGAATCAGCCATGGCAACTGCTGTTTTCTCCTATCTTAAAGGATGAATGTTACTTTACTTAAGTAAAGAGCAAATATTTAATTTTTCTCCCTTAAAAATGAATGTGTCTATTATCAAAAAGGCATAGAGAAAATTCAAACTATGGTCACACTAGAACATGCAGAGAGCTTGATTCCAGTTATGAAACAGTACTACCTTAATTCCAAGGTCAAGTGCTATCTTTAAAATCCATTATAATAGTACTCATCACTGCTTTTTTGCCTATTACCAATATTGTAGCCAAAGGATTTGCAATCTTTCAAATGAAAGTCTCCTATTTTCTTCCTTTTTTCTTTTCCCAATCTCCTCTTCATTTTCTGTTTCTCTTTTTCTTTTTCTCCTCCCCTCCACTCTCATTAGATTGTTTATCAGAGTTGGCACTAGGTCATTCTGGTGGTTAAGTGGCAGAGAGAAAAATTTTAGGCATAATAAACCACTTCCCTTCATGGATGAGTTTTTGCAGTCAATCAATTTTGTGTGATGGTAGAACAGAATGTAGAGGAGCACAAGACTGAGTGAACTGGCTGTGATCCAGCTCTATTATTCAGTTGAGTAACAATATCTAAGTCTATGAAACTCCTTTGCTTGTCTTCCAAAACAGGGACAACACCTACTTCATTGAGTTGGGGTAAATGTCAAAGGGAATATTGCACGAAATTTTTTTTAAAACTCTTATTATCATCCTCACTTATAAATGGTTAAAATCAAGGTTTGGGCATCAGTAGAGAGGAAGGAAACAAGCTGGATGTTTATTCGTTAATTTGTGAACCTTCAAATAAAGTAATAAGAAGTTTTACAGATGAATGATTATAAGTTTAATGCTACTGACAAATTGTATATATGTGTGTGTATGTAAATACATTAATTTTACATAGTTGAATTTACCATATTCAACTATATTGCTAACAGTTTCTGATAGGAAAAAGATACCTCCAAAATCAAAATTTCTGTAATGTGGCATTTGTCTTGAGCTTTGTTTTCTTTGGTGTTGTAGTCTATTTGGGTAAATGCACAAAGATGACGAACAGGAATGTGCAACAAATCTTATGTGAAAGCGGGGCGTGCTATTCTCCCCTGAAAGATAAGGCAGGCTGCATTGCCTTGCAGGTGAGAACGTGTGATGCAGTGTCAGATTGCCACAGCTGCATCACTTACTAGCTGTGTGAATTTGACAAGCTATTTAAACATTATGAGTCCCAGTTTCTGCATCTGTAGAATGGGGATAAAAATAGTATCTACTTCTTAGAGTTGTTACGAAGATTAAATGAGTTAATAAATGTGCAGCATTTAGAACAATTCCTGTCAAGCAGTAAATGCTCAATTCACGTTAATTACTACCATGCTCGGATTTGACAGGCTATCTTCAATGATGCTTTAGAATATATGACTTTTTTACTTTATTTTCTACCACCCTGCCTCTTCCCTATCTAAAGCTCTTCTTCTCCCCTCCTCTTTTTCTTTCCATCTTTTCCACCCCTGGAAACAGATGAAATCTTGATTATGCTAGCTAAAAGCATGATTCCCTTACCTCACCAGGCCACAAGCAGGAGCTGAACTGTTTAAGTATGAATGATGGAACTGAATGGATATGAGGAAACTTCATGTGTCTCAATGTTATCTGTGGTGTCAGATATATGTTTGTAGAGTTCTTCCATTTGAAATGTCCTCCTGGGTTGAATTAAATGTTACAAGTGATGTTCACAGTCCTCTGCCTCAAGCATCTTACAGATACTGTAAATATTTCTCAGTATTCTGAGAAAGCTTCTCTAGGTGCTGTATGACTGCCTAGATACTCTAGAAAACCATTGTTTGTGAGGCATACAGGACTGTTTTAATAACAGCACCATCCCCATCTTGCTGACACTTCCAATATCTCCTACCCTTTCATGTATATTTTTCTCAAAGTATATATTATCTTCTAACATATATTTTGCTATTTAATTTTTAAAATTTCCATCTCTTCCCACTGGAATATAATCTTCATGAAAATCGTGATTTATGTCTGTTTTCTTCACTAGTCTATTCCCAGAACCTAGAGAAGTGTCTGGCACATAATAGGCATATCCACATAAAAATGCCTCTAAGAAATAGACAAAAAACAGTTAATTTTTCAGAAGAACTTGACATTTTCTTTGCCTCATCTCATATAAGAGTATTATTCATTCACTCACTTATTTATTACTTAACATTTCCTATTGGGTGTATAATTGATATCTCAATCTTAACATTCCCAAAACTGAACTCTTAATCTTCCCTATGAAAGTTACTCCACTCACATCTTCCCAATCTGAGTTAATGTCAACTATTCTTTCAGTTGCTTGGATCAAAAATTCTAGAGACATCTTGACTCCTTTCTTCTCTCATACTATATAACCCTTCCAAAAGAAATGCTGTTGACTCTACCTTCAAAATATTTCAGGATTTTAAGCATTATCATCACCCCTACTGCAATCATACTGATGGTCAGCATCTTCTCTTGTCTGGATTATTGCAAAACACCTCCACCTAGCCTCCCTGCTTCTTCCCTTTTCCCTGGACAGACTCAGCTTCAGAACAAAACCCAAAGACTTTACAAGGATTTAAAAGATCCATTTCATTTCAATGCTTGAATCATCTCCCACTAAATTCATCACTCACCCAACCCAGTTCATCACTCACTTCTTACTCACGCAACTCCCAGTACTTTGGGAGTACTCCCAAAGAGTACACTGGACTCTTAACTATTCCTGGATCTTACCAAACACGTTCTTGTCTCAAGGCTGTTCTGTTGTCTTCATTGGCACGGAATGCTCTTCTTCTACATATTGCAGGGAATTTCTCCTGATTTAGCAGGTATATCTTACGTACAATTTGACCTTTGTTTGCAAGTAAAGAGAATTTCAAATAAATTTGAAACAGAAATTCCTTTTATTTATATTTTTTATAGTCTTGCAGCAATAATATGCTTGAATGTTGGCTAGGTGAGATATTATTCAGGTCCTAAAATTGAGCTAGAGAAGGCTGTAAATGAGGATGTGAAAAGAGGCTCAAACCACTAAATATATCATTTATAAAATAAGCCAAGTGTAAAGGAAATCCATATTGACGTGGTATTACTAACTGAACCTGTATTTTTCACATTTGAAATAATCTCTGTCTGCCAGCTCCTAAAAGCACACACCAGCTCTTCTCTATTGTTTCCTATTTATTAGCAATTATTGGACAATTGGCTGCCTGAATGTAGAGCTTATTAACTATTTCCTGCAGTTATTTGTCAATGAAAATCAGTATCTATGGATGATGACTTTTTGCTTCTGGTGTTGATATGGACAGACTTACAATCTCAGTGTCTATGAGAATTTTTTGATTGGTAATGCAGTATATTGTTGAGGGTACTCTCTAAGACCAGACAACCTGGATTTGACATCCACTTAATCACTTATTAGTTATGCATCCGTGAAAGCTGTTTAACCTCTCTCAGTTTCCTCATCTGTACAACGGATAAGAGTAGTAACTTCCTCAGAGGATTGTTAGGAAGATTAGAAGTGAGTTAATAAATGCAATGCTCTTATAACAGTGCTGGCTTACATAGTTATGTGCTCAGAAGATGGTATTTATTATTATATTTTGTCCTCTTTTCTTTTTCCCCATTTATCCTTTTTGTTTCATTGCCTTTTAAACACTATTTTTTTTGGTGGAGGAAGCATGTCACAGATGCCTATGAGAGTCTGATGAAACCTTGGTTCCTCTCCACAAAGAACTGCACTCAAACACACACACACAAGATTTTACACACAATTTCCACAGGTTTTCAGAGGCCTCTGAAGCTCACTCCTGGATTACCAAGTGCCCCTATATCCCTGGTTAGAAAATCTTGCTTAAGATGATAAATTTTAATCCAACCATATCAATAATCACATTAAATATAAATAGTCTAAGCATAACAGTTAAAATATAGAGATTTCCATATTGGATAAAAAAGCAAGATCCAATTATATTCCATCTAAAGGAAGTCTATTTTAAAAATCAAGATATCGATCAGCTAATTTGAAAAGGATGGAAAAAGTTATACCACACGTATGGGGAAGGGTTAATTTAGCAGGCCTGGGTTGTTCAAAGCCTACACATTCCAAAGAAAGGCTTGTTTCCATGACTGGCCTTGGGCTGGCTCCTGGGAACTGAGCTCTTGGAATTTTCTGTCTGAAAAGGGTATTTTTGCAGACCTAAGGCCTTGGGCCATGCTGAATTAGTTTGTTCAGATGGTGAACACCTACTTTTGCTGTGGGCTTCTGGATCTTGAGGAACTAAGGTCAGTCAGAGGTGCTATATGCCCCCATGAAAGATACCCAACAAAATCCTGGGAAACTTGATTTGGAGAAGCTCTCCTGGTTGGCATCTCTTTGCACATGTTGTTAGACATCACTGCTGGAGGAATCAAGGGTGTCCTGTGTGAATCCACTGGGAAGGGACACTTGGAAGCTTGTACTTGGTTTCCTCTGGACTTCACCATATGTATCTTTTCCATTCCCTGATTTTACTCCACATCCTTTCATTAATAAATTGTAACTATGGTGCCAAACTTATGAGTCCTTTGGTTCCTTCTAGTGAATCATGGAGCTTGCCAACGCTAATCAAAAGAAAACTAGATTTTCTACATAATATCAGAGAATATAAACTTCAAGACAATGAAGTTTATTAGGGGTAACAAAGATCATTACATAATGAAAAAGGGGCAGTTCTCAAAGAAGACTTAACAGTCTTAGATGTGTGCATACCTAACATCTGAGTTTCAAAATAAATGAAGTAAAAGCTAATAGATCTAAAAAGAGAAATCTGTAATTATACAGTCACATACTGCATAATGATGCATAACGACACACAGCATATACAACAGTGGTCTCATGAGATTAGAATCATATAGGCTAGGTGTGTAATAGGCTATCCATCTAGGTTTGTGTAAGTGTACTCTATGATGTTTGCACAACAACAAAATTGCTTAAAGATGCATTTCTCAGAAGGTATCCCTGTCATTAAGTGATGCATGACTAGTTGGAGACTTCAACATTGCTCTCCTAGTTGAAGGATACAAGGTGAATAAACAAAAGTCTGTTTTATTTATATATAATAAATTTGAACAATGGGAATTTGAAACTAAAAGTATCTTTAAGTAATTGCAGTATCTGTATGCTGAATACTACACAATACTGAAGAAATAAATAAAAAAGACCTATATAAACCAAGAGATATACCGTGCTCCTAGACACTGTGATCCTGGATCAGGAGACTCAATATTGTTAAGATATCAATTCACCTCAATTTCATCTATAGATTCAATACAATCCCAGTGGAAATCACAACAGGTTGGTGTTTGTTTTGTTTTGTTTTTCTGAAGTAATCAACAAGCTGGTTCTAAAATTTACACAGAAAAACAAAGGACTAAAATAGCCAGGACAATTTGGATAAAGAAAAAGCATTTAGAGAACTCACATTACCCAGTATTGATGGCTTACTATGAGGGTATTCTGTTTAAGACACTGTCTCTGTGCAGTAGGATATCTGAGAAATGCATTCTCATGGTTGTCACAGATGGAATTATGCATTTATCTCCATTTCCTCTCAAAATTTCACTGAAAGGATGGTAAATAAATAAAAAGGCAAAAGCTCACAAAAACAAAGAGATAGGAGGAAGGATTATTTACGTCAACAACATTTAGGAACTGAAAAGCAGGTGGTAATTGACCTAGTAGACCAGCAAATGCTAAAACTTGGGCCAGTATGTGTATAAAGCTCACAAAAAACAAAATGATTGTTCTCACAGTAACTCAGATATTGAAGGGAACCGGTAGCTCTGAAAACAGAAGTGCAGGGTAGATTGAAAATAGAAAAAATGATCATAAATTTTTTAAAAGAGCAGTTAAATTCCTCCATCCCTTCCCTATCCCAAATAGCCATGACGCCTCCTCTTCTGAGCCTCAGCAGAAGGCTGGAGATACTTGCTGGAGAACCTAAACCAGACAGACTGACTCTGAACTTGGGGACATCAGGAACACCTGAGGGTGAGGGTGACACAAATCTACTCACTGAGAGGTGAGAACCACCCTCCATCTTTCTCTTCTCAGGTCTCAGAAATCCAGCAACCATGCTTAACCCTTGCCCAATCCCAACTTGCAATTGACAAATTTCTTTCCGATGAAAGTGACTAGTTACAAGAGAAAAGTTCACCAAGGAAAAGATCAAGTCTCTCCTAATTACATCCCAGTGAGGCTCATCAATTTCCAAGCCCCATCAATGCATATTGATTCCCAATCCACTTTTCAGCACCCCACTTTTAAATATGAACTGACAGCAAAGGGTCATTACACATTTGAAGAAAGTCTTTAACAGAAACGGCAGAAGAAAACAAACAAAAACAATTGTGGAAATACAAAATGAAAGAAGCAGAAGAAAACTTTAAGAAAATTAACAATTGAGAGAGATAAGAATGTATTATATCCATGAAACAAGAACATACACGTATATATTTAAACATGAACATTCAGAGAACAAAAAAGAACTCCTTTAAGTTAATCATCAGATAATAGAAACTAACATTTCCAAAAGAATATTTAAGAAAAATTTTCCAGATAAAAGGAAAACAAAAAGAAATGAAATACAGGAAAGAAAAAAAAAAAAGACACTGTGGGAGTGGTGAAGATATAGATGTAAATCAATGGAATAGAATGCAGGGCTTATAAATAGACACACCGAATATAGTCATCGAATTTTTGACAAGTACAAAAGTAATAAAATGGAAAAACGATAGTGTATTTAACAAATGGGGTTGGAAAAATTAGACAACTGTTTTCCAAAAATTGAACTTTAACTCATACCTTATACAAAAATTAAAATTCATAATGAACAGACTGAATGTAAACCATAAAAATAGGAAGCTTCTAGAACAAAATGTAGGTAAAAATTTGTATGCATTTGTGTAAGACAAAGAGTTTTAAAATACAGAGCTCAAAGCAGGATCCCTTTTAAAAAATGGTAAATGAGACTTTATCTTAAATCAAAAATTTTGCTTTTTGAAAGTCACTATTAAGAGAATGAAAAGGTAAGATACAGACTGGGAAAAACATTTCAAATGATATATCTAACAAAGGACTGTATCCAGAATATAAAAAGAACTCTTAAAAATCAATAATACGAAAACAAACAACCCAACTAAAAATCAGTGGGGAGAAGTTCTGAACAGAACCTTCACCAAAGAAGATATATGGATGGGCAATAAACACATGAAAAGATGCTCAACATTTTTGCTTTCAGG